ATTTAGGATTGCCATTGTCTCTGTTATAGCCTGAATTTCTTGTCCGAGTCTGACACTTTCACATAATATATATATATATATATATATATATATATACACACACACACACACTATACTCACTTAGATTTCGATAGATGCTGAAGTTCGGACGCTTAATTCAAACGCTCAATGTGTTAAGTGGTAGCAACATACATGTAGAATTCATCAAGTTTAATTCCTGGATCTGTTTCTGTATCAATGATCATTACGGGAACTTGAACTACTACTCATGTTGTGATTGCAGGCATGATTTGGAAGTAAATGGAGGGAAGGGACTAATAGTGGATCCTAGAACAAAGTATGTTTATCAACGACCTTAAGTGTTTATATCCATTAGAGCTTCAACTCAAGATTCATCAGTTAAATCCATGGAAGCTTGTTATCTTTTATTGAGGTAGTTATTGGTTGTTATTTAGTGGCATTTGTTTATTTCTCTTTTCTTTGTAATTTCATTTATTTGTTGGAATATGTCTCGTCTCGTGTGGCAATAAATAGTCCCTCTATGTAACATTTTCCGTGTAATTATTTACTTTTAGAATTTGATTGAATATGTAGTAATCTTTGAAATATTTTTACTAAAAAATATAGGGAGAGGAATCAAGTTGAAGAAGGCCTAGCAAAAATAATCATAAAAGAAAATGCAGATGGAGATATTTTGTTCCAAAATACTCCCATCCCTTTTGTAATGAAATATTACTTACAAGGCCTTCAAGGGACTATAGAAATATTCTTATTCTATATAATTATATTTTGATTAATGTATACTATATCCTCCGTTCAAATCTATGTGAACCTATTTTTTTTATATTAGTTCAAAAAGAATGAATCTATTCCTAAAAGAAAAAGTTGAATTTTATAACTCAAATATTATCCCTAATGAGAAGTTTTCTCAACTAGTGATATGTTTTGCGCCATAAATTTTAATAAATATGTTATGATATATTTATAATCACAAGTTTTAAAGGTCTTTTCTTTTTTCCTTCTTTAAATTGCATGCTCAAAATAGATTCACATAAGTGGGAAAAAAGAGGAAGTAATATATCTAACCTTTTGAAGCAAAAAAGGAATACACAAATAGCATGTTTAGACACACTTTTTTACTGAAAAGTACTTTTTTCAAAGTTAATTGTTTGGTCAAACTTTTATAAAGAAAAAAAAATATTTTTGATTAGGAGCATTTTTGAAAAGTAGAAACAGTAAATTCTCTTCAAAAGTATTCTATTTAAAAAAAAAAAAAAAATTTATAAAAGTTTGGTCAAACACTAACGGTTGCTCAAAAATAATTTTTAAATTAATTAATACTTATTTTAGAAGTTTAGCCAAATGGGCTAAAAGTAATTTTCAAAAGAATCGGTTGTAGGAGAGCCACAAGATTGAAAAAACAAACATAAATAAATAAATATCTAATGGGGGAGTAGTATGTAAAATTCGTGGTCGCCATTGTGCAATCAACAGTGTCCTCTTCCGGTGAAGCTCCGCTCTTCTTCTCCGGTGATCTTTCTGCAAGTGAGTATTCTCTTTGCTCAGTTACAAATACACTTCGTATATTTCAAATTCAAATAATTGAGGTGTAGGAATTACATTACTTACGGAGTTCAAATGTTTAATTTTAGAGCATATCTTGAGCAAATTAATATAATTTGAAATTACAAAATGAGAAATTCCTATATATAGTTGGTCAGCTCTACTTTCTTGTTGTGAAGCTGTAAATACAATTCGTTTTTTCCTCTCTTTTTTTTTTACCTTTGTTCTGCAAAACGACGTAATTTTTAGTTTCCATTGCAGAAATGCTTGAATTGGAATTTGGAATTACAGGTCGTTTTTGACTTAATGATTTTCTGTTGAAGGTTAAATTAGTTAATTATGAAGTTACAACAAAAATAGAGGTTGAATTAAGTGAACCAAAATAGAGTAGAATGGCTATTGAGGATTATATAGCCGTCCAACTAGTTTCGAATCATGGTTGTTGCGATAAACATTTAGATATTGTTGTGAAGCTGTCACGATGGTTCTTGTTTTTGACTTTTACTCTGCAAGGCAGTAGACTAACCAGGGCCGGCCCGACGAGTTCTGTGGCCTAAGGCCAAACTTTACGAGGGGCCTTAACTTATTTTTTAAAAAAAAATTATTTATTTATTTATTTAAAATCTATTTTTCTAGCGTTTCTTAGATACAAAGTTATTAATAATTTTCTTATAATCAATAACTCCTAATAAGTCTTTCTTAATTGACAATATAGCTAATCCATTTAACCTTTCTTGAGAAATTGTTGTTCTTAGATGAGATTTTATCAATTTTAATTTTGAAAATTTCTTTCCACTGAAGCGACGGTAACAAGAGTTATTAACATTACTCCATAAGTAATATAGGCATTGGAAAAAGGATCAAATCTTTTTATTTCACTGAGTGTATCAAATAAACTATTATCTTCTATTTGTAGTATTTTTTTAAATATTTTTTATTCCGAAAATAAATCTAAATCATCAATATCGAATTTATTATTATGCTTTAAGGAACATTCAAGATTAAGACAATATTTTTTCAAATTTCTATCATCTAGTGATCTTAGTTCTTACCACTAAATAGAAAACCAAAAATATTTTCATATGCTTCGAATTGATCAAATCTATTTTGAAGTGAAAAAAATATCCTTATCTACTATGTATAAAATAATCAACTCCAAAAGACTCTTCGAAAGATTTTGAGATTTTATTATCAACATTCTCATCAAATTGTTACTTTCTATATATCATACATTTCTTACGCAATTCGGGTTCGATATTCATTTCCAGTGCAATTTTCGTGGCAGAAATCATAGTAGTTGTAAATCCTTCATCTCTATACTTGTTAAAGAAAGAAATCAATTTTTTCACTTTACAGAATCTTTTTTAAACTTATACATAACTTATTAGGTGTAATAAAAAATGGGGCCTCTACAAATGTGGGGCCTAAAGCAGTTGCTTTACTTGCTTTATGGAAGGGCCGCCCCTGAGACTAACTTTTAGTTTCCCTGAATTTATCACAGAAATACTGAAGTTCAAATGTTTGAAAAGAATAACTTTATTTCAAAACTAGATTGAGCGGAAAGGAAAAATATACTTCTTTGGAGTCGGGTCCTCAACAGTAGACATGGTGCAGAGTATGTCAATGAGCACTCTTGCTACTTCTAGATATTGCGGAGCTTGTGGTTCCACCTACCTGAGGAGTCATTTTGGACAGATAAAAGAAACCGCAACTGGTTTTGGGGAAAGATTTGTGTGGAATGATCGTCGGAAAAGCTTGTCTTTTTCTACCCACTTTGATATGCTAAAGCCGAGAAATTTGAGAGCGCAAGCTGGATGGTTGTTTAAAGGGGGCGATCAAGCCTCAGAAGCAAGTTGTGAGCGCAGCGAGAATGCCAATGAAGATATCTTGATGTTCTTTTTCCAGCTGGACTTGGCTACACGTGTGCAGGTTCCCATCTAGCTCTATGATTTATTGTAGTTTATTTGGTATATCTTCGGCTGTTGCTTCACCAGGTGTCTATCCTGCTTTATTCACAGTATGCCTTGAACGTGGAGCAGTATGAAATTGCACAACAACTAAGAGAGAAGCTCACTGAGGTTAGACTATGGAGATCTTAAGTTTCTTGTATTCATCTCATCTTTAATGATTTTCCATTTTTAATATCAAAGCAATTGTTGACACTGTTCTTCCTGTAATTTTATGGATTTTAGTTGTCTGAAATTGGACAAGCCAATGGATCAATGAAAACTGTTTACTAACTAGAATCAGCACATTTCTTATATGCTAATGAAGGTGGAAACAGAGGTTCTGAAGCAGCAGGAATCCCGAAGGGGATCAGCCTCAAAGAGTGAAGCTCAAGATATGGCCATAAGCATCTTGCGTCTACGGTAAGCATCCTCACATTCTTTTTTACGAGCTTTGGGTGCCGAATATCAAGGTATTAAATGAACTGAATATAAGGGCTTCTAGCTATGGTATGTTCCAGAGGTATTCCCTTTTGAAGCATCTCTGAGCAGCTTTTGCTTCATCCAGTGCAGACCTGCAGAATGCAGTTCAGAGTGAAAACTATGATTTGGCGGCTAAATTACGAGACGAAATTTCCAAACTAGAGGCAGAGTCTCTAACTGCATCAATAAGAGCTCAAGCATACGTAAATGCTCAATATGCATTTCGATTAGGCCAGAAAGTGAGGCACAAGAATTTTGGTATGGAAACTTTTAACTAATTTTTTAACTTTTACATTGATCTTTTATTATTTAGGTGAAGTTCTGGCAGATACTTGCCTGTGTCACGGGTACCCTAAATTGTTGTTGGTGGGGAATATTTACTTTATGTTAATACTACCATGGTGCAGATGAACTGTGTGAAGCTAAGTAATACTATATATTTGTTGATACTGAAAGTTCTACTTATGCACACAGGGTTCAACAAGTTGCCCTTTTTTTTTCTTCAAAAAAAAAGCAGGGTTGATCATCACGCTTGTCATTTGTATCCAAACAAACTGAAAGAGGAAAAATGGAAAAGCTGATGAAGCGGAAAAGGCTAAAAATTCTTCGGAAATAGTCTATAAGGTGGAAGGGAAGGAACATTCTGTTTAAAATTCTAAAGACCAAAAAAAAAAAAAAAAAAAAAAAAAAAGAGAACGATATACAAATTCACATAGGTTCACATATAACTGAGTTCTAGATAAAACAGATATATAATTTGGAGCCTAGTATTCAGTTTCTTTATGGGATCGTCAAATCTTGATGATTGGCAGAAGTTTTTTTTATTGAACTGCATGAGCTACTGGACTGCACCTCACTGAGTAAAGAAACCTTGCTAATTTGTTGTGTTGACCTATGAAGATATTCAATATTTCCTTCTGTGATGTGCTATGACTTGCATGGATATCTATTATCGCAATGTACAGGTTGATATCAGTACTCAATTTGCGAATTTATTGCTTCCTTCTGGGGAAAATGCGTTCTCTTAACTGATATTTATGGAACCCCCAGATTCAGCTTCATTAGTAAGTGTTACTCAACTTGTTTATTCGAAACCTGATCTTCTGACTTCAGGATATCGTGGTGTAATATGTGGGATGGACCCAATATGTTGTGAATCAAGTTCATGGATGGAAACTGCTCAAGTTGATAAGTTGAGCCGTGGTCCTGATCAGCCATTTTATCAGGTTTTTCGCATTTTTTTATCAGAGAAAAAAATTCAGTTTTTTCCTAGATCTTCTAACATAAATTTCATGTTCCTGCTGCAAACAAAGATTTATCACCTCATTCCCATTCTCAATCCAATTGATTTATCTGAACATGATCTGGTATTGTCAGTGATGCTTCATAGCCACATCCCGAAGAAAAGACCAAATAATGTTTTAAACTGCATATGTCAAATTGTCGTCAACTACTTGTTCTAATCCACTATCCTCCTAATATCTGAACTCTGAAGTTTAATTTACTGCTTATGCTCTAGAGTCCCACTTCCTGGTTTGATCATCTTGAGGGAATTATGAGATGTTGTCCATCCCCATTGACCTGATAATTTACCAGCTTTAATGTGGTCCTCTAGCAATTGCTCATCAACTAGTTACTGTAGTGTCAACTATACGTGTCACTTTTCATCAATGGCTCACTTGGCAGTACGAACACAGTACGGTAGTTTTACCTTTAGACCCTCATTTTGGAAAAAGTGCATACAAGTTCAAAAATTGATTCTGAGTGATGTGAAATTTTTTCATTTTTAGAGTTAAGGTGCCGGTATGATATTGTACAGTGCAATATCTGTTTGAGCTTCATAAGAGAAACATTTAATTGGTAAAAACAAAAGTCTGGTTGTCTTGTTGACTTTCCTTTACTTACATCTTCTGGCCAAAAAAAAAGGCGTCGAAACTCTGAGGGGAGGGGTTTGTTTAGAGAATTTCTTAAGCATACTGCAAGTTCCTGATCCTAATCCAGATTTCAAACTTCAGCTCTCATTTTGCTGCATTAGAGGGACCGAAAGTGCTGCTGCTCCACCGGAGGCGGATCTAGTATTTTTAAAACATGGCTGCACCACTAAAGAAAAAGAAAAAAAAAGTACTAAGTGAGAATTGATCTTTGTTCCGTTGGGTAAATAACTCGGTAGTCACCCAAGTGCACCATTCAACCTTTGTGGAGCATGGGTGCCAACAAATAATATTGGATTAATTCTAACAAATACATACATAAAATACCTAATTTTGCGGAACGACCATGGGTTCACCTGCCCCATAAACTAACCTATACATCCGCCTATGTGCTCCACGTTATATTTTTCTCTATTTAATACTTCAGACCTATTTAGCTTTGATTCGATATGCTTTCAGGTGCTGGTGGATGTACATACAGATCCCAATCTGTTAGTTGCATATGGTAAGTGAAATTTGACACGATGAATGAGTATTTTTATGATTAGATAATCTTGTCTGAGCTAAGGAAGGTCATATACTGTGTTGAATTGTACAATATCAACCTCTTAGAAAAGTCTGATAATTGTTCATCTTGCAGTTCCTGAGGAAAGTTTAGTGGCCCCCAGCGAACCAGATAAGGTGTGTATCCCACCAATCTGAAAATACAAACGGAATTGTCATTCAATCTCTAACTTGGTTAAAAATGCAACACGCGTGTAGGATAGATTTGATCATCCCTACACCTCATTCTTATTTTTTGGGATGGATGCTGCTGGAGATTTCATACCAATCAAGCAGCTGCGCGAGAAATACAACAGGCCTCGACATGAGGTGCCATATGATCCAGAGGACGAGAAGAGTGGAGAAGGATCCTAGGTGTCACCAGGAGCAATGCTGTCCTCTTGGGCAAGATTTGAATATATGAGAAATCCTTTTCCTGATTATGGTCGAGTTACTTCATTTCGAGACTACACAACATGTTTTCCTGCACAATGTCCTTAGAATACATGCAATTGTGGAGGTTTTGGTGTATTGTGGTAGAGATTTAGGATGATAATGATCAAAGTACATAGAGCTTCTGTTATTATGAGCCAGTTTCACAGAAAATGGTCAAGTTTAGAACAAATAGCAAAATGTGTCTGATGATGTATGGTTATTGTTCCACTTTTCGGATCTTTACCCTAATAGCCGGCGATGTTCGTTGTTTATTTTTTCTAGTCATATACATAAATTATACATTGATTAAACATAATTTTACACATATAATACATAAATTATGCCTCAACCGACTATTTTTAGTTTAAATGGTTGGGTGGGCGGCTATTTGGGTTAATTCTTCTTCTTTAAACTTGATTACAATTAAAAACATCAATATTAATTGGATACAGTGGAATGTATTTTTTTTCTTCATACAACGGAATAATGGGTCCTACCCTCTTCCGTTCTCTCACTCGACCTCAAAAGGAAAAAAAGAGGTTTAATATTTTATATGGCATAATATTAGGAGTATAATTTTTTTAACATTATCAAGTCATTTAAAAGTCTATTACAAGGTACTATTTTGTAGCATGCGGGGTATAATAACCCATTAATTGTGGTAATGCCATGTTATATCAGATTAATTTTTCACCTTTAGTCTGCACTATATTGAGATTTGGCTTTGTAGTCCAATATAAATGTTATTTTAATAAATGATATTTTCTCAAATAATAAAAAAGACAGTAAATAAAACAGGAGATTTTTGTAAGATCATTTCTTCTACTACTTTTAAATTGTAAGGCGCATAAGAGATCCAAATCCTATGAATATTTCATACTATGATTAGTTGTAATTGTAATCTTTTTCAAGCTATTGATCAGTTTATTATAAATAGTTTTTACGCAATATACCTTAAAAACATGTACAATAAACTGCTGACACTAAAAATAAATTATTAGGTTCTAAATTAATAATTTATAGGTATTAAATAAATTTCTTAACATAAATATAAACTTCTTGTTCCCTCCAAAACTCTAAACAAACATGAAAATCAGCAAACTTCAATATATGCCACTGTTCAGAGCATGCTCAAACTTGAGATCATTAGTACAACTCCATGCACATCTCATTATCAATGGTCTCCACAAAGACCCACTTCCTTCCACTAAGCTTATTGAGTCCTATGCCCAAATGGGTTCCCTTAAAACTTCAAGACTCGTTTTTTACACATACCCAAATCCAGATTCTTTCATGTGGGGTGTCTTAATTAAGTGCCATGTTTGGTATAACTGTTTTCAAGATTCCATTTTTCTTTATAACAACATGGTTTGTCACACTAAGGAAACAAATAGTTTTATTTACCCTTCTGTGTTGAGGGCTATTTCTGCAATTGGTGATTTGGGTATTGGCCGAAAAGTTCATGGAAGGATTTTGAAATGTGGGTTTGAGTGTGATCCTATAGTTGAGACTGCATTATTGAGTATGTATGGTGAACTTGGGTGGACAGCTTGTGCGCGCAAAGTGTTTGATGAAATGTCTGTGAAAGATGTTGTTTCTTGGAGTTCGATTGTTTCGAGCTATGTAAGGAATGGGCAAGTTCGGGAAGGGTTGGAGATATTTGGAAATTTGGTTAAGGAAGGGGTTGAGATTGATTCTGTGGCTTTGCTTAGTGCTGTTGAGGCTTGTGGTGAGTTGGGTGTATGGCGACTTGGGAAATCTGTTCATGGTTATATATTGAGAAACAGTATTTGGGGTGATGGGTCTTTGACGAACTCGCTTGTTGCAATGTATGGAAAATGTGGCGATACGTGTAGTGCAGAATTGCTTTTTGACAATGCTGTTGATAATAGTACTTATACTTGGACAGCTATGATCTCCTGCTATAATCAAAATGGTTTCTATAAGGATGCGTTAGCGTTGTTTGTTAAGATGCATGAGTCTGATGTGGAGTTCAATGAAGTTACTCTTATGGCTGTTTTATGTTCTTGTGCTAGGTTAGGTTGGCTAAAGGAAGGGAAGTCGATACATGGATTTATACTTAGAAATGGTTTAGATTGTGGCAATGATCTTCTAGGCTCAGCCTTGGTTGACTTGTATGCGAACTGTGGCAAGGTAAGCGATTGCCACAAGGTATTTGATACATCCCAAGACAGACGTATTGTGTCGTGGAATATGCTCATATCAGGTTATGTACAGGAAGGATTGTCTGAGAATGCATTGACACTTTTTGTGGATATGTTAAGAAAAGGAATACTGCCGGACTCGTATACTCTGGCAAGTGTTCTCTCAGCTTCTGGAGATATTGGGTTTTCCGAATTTGGGTGTCAAATTCATGGCCACGTTATTAGGACTGGCTTTTCAACTGAGGAGTTTGTCCAGAATTCCATGATTGACATGTACAGTAAATGTGGAATTGTGGATTGTGCATTCTTGATATTCAAGGACGCACAAGAAAGAAGTGTTGTGACTTGGAATTCAATGATGTGTGGGCTTACACAAAATGGTTTCTCTCGTGAAGCTATCAATCTCTTTGATGAGATATACTCAAACTCGAGTGAAATAGATGAAGTGACCTTCTTGGCTGCAATTCAAGCATGCTCGGCTATAGGATGGCTGGAGAAGGGAAAATGGCTTCACCACAAGTCAATCATCTTTGGCGTGAGTCAGGATATGTATGTCGATACTGCTCTGACGGACATGTATGCTAAATGTGGAGACCTCCGGATGGCTTGGAGAGTTTTCGGCAATATGTCGGAAAGGAGCATAATATCTTGGAGTGCCATGGTAGGTGGTTATGGAATGCACGGTCAAATCGATGATGCCATCTCACTCTTCCATGAAATGGTAAATAGTGGAATAAAACCAAATGACATCATTTTAACAAATATTCTGTCTGCTTGCAGTCATGCTGGCTATCTGGATGAAGGGAAATATTTCTTCAATATGATGATTAACTTGAGCATTGAACCAAAACCTGAACATTTTGCATGTCTAGTTGATCTTCTGAGTCGAGCTGGTGATATAGATAAAGCCTATGAAGTCATCACTTCGATGCCATTGCCTGCAGATGTTAGCGTTTGGGGTGCCCTAGTAAGTGGATGTCGAATTCACAAGAGAATGGATATTATCAAGATGATTCAACAAAGGCTTGAAAACATGCAGACAGATGATACTGGATACTATACCTTATTATCCAACATATATGCAGAAGGGGGAGAATGGAATGAATCTAGGACGGTGAGGTCAAAGATGCAAAGTTTAGGTTTGAGAAAGGTCGGTGGATATAGTATGATCGAAGTTGAGAAAAGAATACATACTGGTAAAGCAAATGACACAATCTCAAAAAGGGAAATCTCCAGCTTATGATTTTCCATAGTTTTGGAATTAAAGAACAAATTAGTCTGGGAAGATGCAATATTCATTTCATACAGTCTCTGAACTTGAAGTGATTGCTGATCCGCAAAGCTGGCTGAGAGGGATAGCTCTGTTTCGGTTCATCAGGAGACTATCTTCAACGGCTTCCCAAGATCGAACTACGTCTGCTACAGATCTCACTACTATCGTTCTCTTTCTTTCAAGTAGCTATTCTCATGGATAGAGAAAAAACTTGATACAGGGCCGACTTGTCAACTCCAACCTGCCTTGGCATTCAGACAGCACTATGCTAAAGGAGACAGTCCTGATGGCGACTATGAAACTCATAAGTCGTGAGAAGCCGAATCAAGAAAGATGAGAAACGGAATGAAATGCATGTTTACCCGACACCAGAATGCAAACGAAAAATGGATCAAAGAGAAGGGTCCATAATCCATTTTATGATGTTGCATGGCAACATGGCTTTCTACTTGAAGCATTGATGCTGCAAGTGTGAAGCCAATGTTAGCAACGCTGTTGCAGTAAACTTGCGGGTCGTCAGATGCGTTTATTCCATTGAATGGCCAGCACAAATCTCTCTTAGGCCTAAAGCAGATTCTCCATATGGTAAAACAACTCAATTGTTGCAAAGGTGGTGCCTAAGGCGGATGAAAGATTTAAATTTGATAAGTTCAACCTTTAGGTTCTTACCACTGAATCCATTACACTTTTGAAACTACGGGTTCAAACTTTAATATTTTTCGCATTTTAGTGATTTTTCACATATGTACACCTCTAGTCGAAAATGCAGGGTTCAATTTAACCCATTAGTTATATACTACATCAGCCTATGATAGCGCCATTACTTCTGTACTTTACTCTTTCTGTATTATTTTCCCTTGAGAGTTTTAAGGCATTGGCTAAGACAATCTCATATGGTGTACAATATCAGCTACATCAAAGAAATCATGTGTAATAAACTCTCATTCTATACAAATTTTCTAACTTAGCACTTAATAATTTGCTTTCAAAGTTGTCAGAGATTCTGCCAAGCATGTTTTATTTTTTTGGTTACCCACCCGGTGTTCGATATTCGCTTTGGGGTCCGATTAATCTGGATTCTTGCTGGGTAGTCCTACTTTGGGGGTAAAGCGCCCCCCTACCATGTTTGTCGTTCAATTTGTGCCAGAAAGTCAAAACTTGATACTCCTTAGTGCTACTAGATATAGAATTAGTGCTATATCTCTACAAAGTTGAAAATGACCATCTAATAATATCTAGGTTCAATTTGTAGGTGTGTTTGGTATGTCGTAAATGTTATCCATGAAAATAAGGAAAATGACTTTCTCACTTATGGACGGAAGTCATTTTCCGTAGAACTACTTTGACATTTAAATTCATGTTACTCGTTCCAACTAATACTTAAACGTTATTATTAATCTTTGGTGCTCAAGATTTTATCAAAACACATTACAACTTGTGAAACTTTTTATTATTTTCTTAATATATATTTTTTACGAAAAATATTTTTCACTCACAGCCCAATTAGAAAATATATTTTTCAAGGACAAAGACTTCCATCAAATCAGACACACACATAATCTTTTGGATTCTTGTGATGATCCACACCTTTGGACACAAACCGATTACGTATCAGCCACACAGACGAAGAAGTGGAGAACCAACCAAACAATGGTCAAAGCGTGGTAGTACATTGTCCAACCTAGTACTTTGTAGGCCCAAACAGGAAATCTATTAACTAAATACTTTTAGGCCGTAGTCAAAATTATCTATATTCGACAATCACAAAATGTATAAAATTTGTATTTTTTTATATATATAATATATAAAAATGTATATACACAAAAAAAATATTTTTTTCCCGTTATTCGACCATTGATGTTACAATTATTAGTTCCTAACAAGAAAATAAAAGAAAGAGGTTTTTATTTATTTTTATTAATGAAGGAGGTATTATTCTTTCGGCTATTCTGCCTAATATGCAATAAGAGAGAAATCAAGGCAACATAAGGAACAAAACTACTTGGTGGTTAAATTGAGAATGACGTTATCCAAATTATTTTTCTATTAGAAAAAGAAAATAAAGAATTTATTCTCAAATATAATCTTTGGCTTCTTTACAGTAATAATAGCATTTCTCATAAGATCAAATGACCAAATCTCATGAGAATTAGATGTTAAGATTAAGGAAAAAGCACGTGGAACCAAACAACAATACTAAAGGGCAGCCCGATGCACTAAGCTTCTTCTATGCGCAGGATCCGGGGAAGGGCCGGACCATATGGGTTTATTGTACGCAACCTTACCCTGCATTTCTGCAAGAGGCACTGAATAACATTAATACACAGCTAAAGAAATGCTGTATAAAAACACAAAGACATTATGCAGCAGCATCTTCCTGAATACAAGGTCAGTAATCCAATGTAAGAAACATAATAATGGGGGCTCCAAATTATAGAGCAAACAAAGACATGTACAAAAACAATCCCCATTTAGCTAAAAACTCACTCCTGAAACTCATAAACAAAGCTCCCTAAATCCGTTGAATGTCATCTCTATAAATGATGAATCGACAATATTACAACGTCATTTTTGCTCGTGTTTAAGTTAACAGGACAGCCGGAGGATTACCTGCAGGGCATCTTTGCCTCCGCGGGCGCCTAGGTGTCTTTCCCCACCCTGTTAGGTTTTTATCCTCCAAACTAGCTTCAATGTTATTAAGTTGGTGCATTAGCGGAGAGCTCGTCGTGGTCAACACCGTTGCAGGGGTGGCGACCACAATTGTTTTCCGCCTTCCCCTAGCACCTCCATTTCTTGTCCCATTCCTTCTTGTCAAACCGGAGTTCCAAGTATGGCCCGTTGCTCTCATCAACCCTCCGAACGTCTGAATGTCTTCGGTCACCTCGTGCCTTGACAATGAAACTAGACCGGGAAGGATATCCCTTTGGAAGTCCCTCCGTTGCCTTCCCCTCCTTGCTTGCCCTCTTCGGGGTCGGGTTGTTAGTGAACTGGTCCCTCCATCTTCCGCTGTTTGGAATTCAGGAACAAAAGGCTTTGGCATGTAATCTTCCTCCTTCGTTTCTGTTAGTCGCAATGTCATTTCCTCAAAGCAATCTATTTCCTTAGAACCACAACGTGCAACAATCGTGCCATCAAGCTCGGCTGCACAAGAAGAGATCACATCGACAAACCATCGTAGGGATTCCAGAGGATCATCGGATGGATCATTGCATGTTTCCTTTACGGAGATGCATTGACTGGACGATGAGATGGCAACTATAGCTTCTGCTGCAGTCCTGAGTAATTCCTCCTGTGTGTGCTCAGGTTTATCGTCAAGTAGCTGCAAAGATGCTTCACGTTGCTTGTCTTCTTCTCCAGGCAAACTGTCCTGTTCAATGTCCATAACTACAGGGGCTTCCAAATCTATATCCAGAATAGTCTTCACCTTAGCCTTATTGCTCTCAGCAGAAACTGGTTCTTCATCCTCAGTAATACATGAGTTCAAATCAAAGTGATTTTTGATGTTGGTAGCTTTTGTCTCCATAACTTTCCCAGTAACAATTGGTTCCACAGCAGCAGGTTTCTCGGGCTCAACCTCAGAAAGGTCACAAGCTATGTTAATGTCAATCACCATACTCCTCCTTTGATGTCTGATACTCTCCCTCTTGGGAGAGGAACGAAGAGTAGCGGAAGTGGAAACAAGTGATGATGACTCATTTCTGGAAGCAGAGGGAATATCAAGGATTGGAACACCAAGAATTTTTCTTATATGCCGCGTCTCCCCTTCTTTTGCGGTCTTCATGCGGTGACCTTCAGAAACTGATGGATCAATCGGTACACCAAGAATTTTTCTTATATGCCGCGTCTCCCCTTCTTTTGCGGTCTTCATGCGGTGACCTTCAGAAACTGATGGATCAATCGGTACACCAAGAATTTTTCTTATATGCCGCGTCTCCCCTTCTTTTGCGGTCTTCATGCGGTGACCTTCAGAAACTGATGGATTAATCGGTGTTTGGCAAAAAGAAGGGCTTGAGTAGGCCTGGACAAAGCCAGAATTTGTTGAAGTTCCACCTATCCTACTATTGACGCCCTCACTTTTACCATTTGCTTTAGCTTTAAGCCATGGCAAAACTGTAACCGGATCTTGAGGCTCTCTTTTTTCATCACCAAACTCAACACCTTGCCTAGGAAGTTCTTCACTAAGTGCACTCTTTGATAGTTCATTTAAGTCGAAACCTTTTCCAGATGTCACAACATCCACATTGTTAGAGCTAGTGAGAAAATTCTCACATGCATTGTCAGAGGAGCGCTGAGACATAAAATGGTCCCCCTTAATATGGTTCAAAGAGTCAAAAGCAGCTGTAGGAAAGTGAATTGATTCTTTGGTCCTGGATGAGGACCCATGGTAAAAACCATTACGGATAGGATGCAACCTAGAACTGCCGTTCACGTGCCAATTGTCACCAATTTGGCTCTGAGATGACTGTGAACCCTTACCAACTACTGCAGAAGAGTTGAAGAATGAGTTTGCATGCATTGAGGATAACCTCTGAGTAAAGCTACCACTTGGCTTCTCCCACGGAGAGACAGAGTGCAGCCACGAACTGCTAAATTCGGAGGAACTCGGACATGGATATGGACTAGCCATCTTGGAAGTAACAAATGGTTCACCATGAGTATAATTGGACTGCTCGCCATTTCTGTGAGAGATATCTAAACTATGCCCTGCTCTATCTTTCCAAAAGCCATCCTTACTATGGTGAATTGGATGAACCCCCGGCGGTTGATAGGCTTTGTTAATCATAACTGTTGCTTGATGGGAAGCTGCAGGTATCTTCTCTTGTTCAAGACCTCTCGGTAATGAAGCCGAGCTACCTTTGGTGTTACCTGCAAATTGAAGCAAACCCCTTATATATCATCACGGAAATCAAGAAACAAGGAACCTCTCTCTCTCTCTCTCAACGGTAACTAACCCAAGGTACCACTTGATAACAACTAGGTTGGGAATCCAAATTAGAGTAAGAATTTGAGAAGTAAATGCGAAAGCAATAACAACAAGGAATTGAACAACTAGAATTAAAGAAATGAAAATAAAGGATATGGGAAGAATTCAAGGAAAGAATTCCAAGAACTTCCAAGAACGCAAGTTCTATAGCCTTGACAAGATCAAAGTAACAACGTCTTGATTTATGGAAGAAATCAAACGCCTTTACTTAAAAAGCAAATCAAAACAATAGATTCGGATCTTGACCACTTTACGAGCAACTTGAGACAACATTTATTGATTAAGTATATCATACTTTGAGAGTTCTTTTGAACCTTTGTTACTTGTGCTTTGAGATTTATCTTTCAACCTTTACTAGTTCTTAGTTCAAGGTAGTAAGATTACTTCTCTTTTATGATATCTTTGATTCCTTTGTGGTATTCTTACAAATGAACTCCGGAAGTTGCGAAGGAATTGTTACCTGTTTCATATGCCGATGCCAACCACTCCCTCTCTTTGCTTCTACTGTCAACATATACATTACTTAAAGAGTCATTTGGACGTGCACAATTGGAATTCCAAGGCAAAGCCACAAACGGCGGATTTGACCTTGCAGAAGCATTTATGCTTCTAGTTTCTTTATGATTATTACCATAACCAAGAAAAGCAACAGGACGGGTGGCTTCGTCAAGCTGCGCTGGTTCATTTAGATCAGCCAACCCAATAGAGCTTCTCAAACACGAATTGGATGCCGAAGCATCTTTTCGGCTATCACTCTTTGCACCACCACCAAGAAACAATTTATTTCCACTCTCTTGGGCAACTATGTAATTTCCATTAGAAGGATAACTGGGAAATGAAGATCCTACATTATCTCGCAACGGCTCATTTTCATCTGTATCTATGTATTCATCAGCTGGAAGTTGAAGATCAAACAACTTTTTCCGGACCTTCGAGGGCCTAGCCTCCAAAACATCAGAGGCTTTTGAAGAATAACCGTTCTGCATTTGAACTCGACCAGACTGCACACCATTTCCTTTTGAAGAACTAAAGGGAGAATTAACAATTTCAGTACCAGATGTAGATGGTCTAGTATAACTGGAATTTTCCAAGGGGAAGTTTGTTATGTGCCATTTTCGAGCATCTTCAGACGGTACTTGAGATCCTAGGTGACTAGATGAACATGATGGCTCCATCGATGAGCGAAGTTTATGCATTCCCTTCCTTCTAATTTCGTCCATCATGTCCCTCTGAATTCTGTAAAGGCGATGAAGTTCCACCACCTACAACCAAACCTTTGCATAAGTATATTTTTGTAATGCCGGTTGAAACAAAGCAAAAAAGGGCAATTGAAATTTCCAATTAAATTTTTTCTTTAAAGAAAAAGGCAAGATTACCTGATTCTTGAATATGGCCTCGTGTTCAAGCATCTTCTGCTTCAGAATGTCCTTATCATATCCTGGATATGCATCAGTTATAGTCCTTGACGTGAAACCATTACAATATTGACCGTTCGGTAAGGTTTTATCTCCATAAAATAGGGGCCAACTGCTGCTATTAGAGTCCTCATTAAGGTCCCTCATAGAGTAATAGCTTGCTAAGTAGCCTTTACAGTGCACTTGTGTTCCCATTCCTGCCAGGATTAGGAATCAAGATTTAAATTAAAACCGAGCAGTTTATTTTGAATAAACTTCAAAACTGTTCTAAGAAGATGTATGGGTTACAAGGAAACAGAATTGAGATATTCAGTCCCCACATATCTATTTATGCACATATGATCCCAACACATAACAGCAAACACCAACGGCATTACAAACTCCAGTAGGCATTAGTACAGCACGTTAACATTGAGAGGGTAAACGTATTATTATGTATCTTTTAGTATGTGACGGAGCTAGTTAAAATCAACCAAAAACTGGAAGTATAGATATCCATATTAGAGAGTAAAGGTTTTAGGATACCACACGTTTAGCAAAGTGAAAGCTAAGTGAGAGTAGATGGGATTCTGTATCTAATTACAGATAATTCAAGTATTCAAGTTTAGTCGTCCAGGAGAATGAATAGTATTATTAAAATAGGAGTGGAAAGGAGGAGCGCTATGGGAGTGTGATATGATAAGAAGATACTAACAAAGTGAAAGCCAATTTCTATAATTCAAAAGAAAACATAAAACTATAGAATGGAACAGTAGCACACAAAGATGATAAGAGAGGTAACCTAAGATGGCTTAGCTATATCCTACGTAGACTTAGCTAAAAATAAATCAGGATCGATGTAGGCGACAGTACTAGTAGCAATTAAGACTAAGTTGTTGGTAAACTTATGTAAGGTCGGTGCTCTCAAGAGTCTTTTAACTATGCTTAGAGACTTGTATGTTCGTATAGGGGTATGTACGAGAATTCGATATTCTCTAATTTTAGAGGACCCCTAACTTTGTCTCGAAAGACATTATTTTGTCAACTAGTGGATATGTTCATTGATGGGCCTACCCTAAACAAAACTAAAAATATCAGCGCGCCTTGAAAAATTGATGAAGAGAAGATCAAACGCATAGATATTGTCCTGAAGAAGAATCTTTCAGTTATATTTTCCCCCCATAAAGGGGGAAAAAAAGCTATTCTGCTTCAAGTATATCTATCAAAATCTAACTTCAATGACTTTCCCTTTACATTAATCAGCAATTAATTTTTTGTCAACATTCTCATATGATTGATTGAATAGATTACAAATTAAAGATGCCGGGTCAGCACATGCAAGATTATCTCCAGGTGTAGAAGATTTCGCCTGCATTGTCTCAACTTGTGCACTTCTCTTTTATACCATTTAACTTTTGTCCACTCGGTCATATAACTCGGTCATATAACTTTGACAGAGACGATTCTTGGACACTCGGTCATATAACTTTTGTCCACCAATTAAAATGATCCAAAGGGACCTATAAAAGTTATCTTAGAAACCTGACCACATCGATTATCAAAAGACAAATTGCACCAGAGAAATCCGAGTATTACACACACTCTGCACGATTCTCATCAGCAACACGCGGAAAAAAATCGAGAAGTTTTCACACTCTTTCAGAAACCAAGATATAAGACTTCATATACTTTTTCAATCACTCCTCTGTCAAATTTATGTTCACACGCACCACATGAAAGCATACTCTGAATTAAGTAGACCATTTATCATTTCCCAAGAGAACCAAATGAAAACCCGTACTCAGTTCAGATTGCAGTCTGCAACTCGCCTGCATGAAGCCGGAATAGCTAGTAATCGGCGCTCAGCCATACAGCGGTGAATTCGTTCCCAGTCATTTAAAGACTTAAAAACTAATTGCTCCTTATAGCACATAGAAACAAGGAATCACAATGTAGGGTCCAAGGATAGCAGAGGAAACAAACAAGATAACAGACTGCGACTAACATTACAATTAATCTGGAAATTTGTCTCTAAGCAGCACTGAAATCCAAAGCTCTCCAATTACCTGTAATCTACTAATGAAGACAAGCAATCTTGTAATAGCAGATAAATTGGATTTTAATGTAATCCATTTTCACTAAGAACTTCTTACTTGTCACATTGGAAATTTAATAAAAGCTAGTGCAGTAGGAATCAAATTAACCACACACAAAATGACTAATATAGGACCTTTTTCTAATAAAGTCTCAATCTTTAACTCATGCAATTTAAACTCTTAACCCCCACTTTTCTTCTTCCTAAAAGTAATAGTTTGCTTACCTATTTTAGACAAATAAATGAATTTAAGAATATCATTCCAATAGAAACCACTTTATAAGCAATTAAAGTTCCAATCTTTTTCACTTAGAAGAGTAAATGAGGTAAAAAATATAAACACAAAAGCAAGAAAAGATCCAAAATAGATAAGATCACCAGTAAAATCCAAGAACTTAATCAAATCTGCAAGTAACAAAGAAAAATGTACAAACCCAATTAATCATATTGACAAAGCTCATAATTTTAGAATCTAAAACCATTAATTAAACTAAACAAAGCAAAAATAGAAATATTCTGTTCTTGGGGGGGTCTTAAAAGTCAAATAAGAATAAATCTAAAAGCAAATAAATATATAATAAGAAGATGAATTTACCTCAACCCCACATCTTGAAACCAACTCTTCTCAATAACCTTTTCGTGGATTGAACAATGAACATAAATTGAAGTAATTCACCAACTCAAGAATCATGATAAATTGAGTGACCCCAAAAAAAGTGGAATTATTAACTCAAATAATGGGAAATAAATATTTAATAATAATAATTATGAAACAAGTAGACCATTGAATTAAAGAAGCTTCAGATCCTAATGAAACTGAAAAAAAAGATTGGAGATTTACATCTGATGGGGCCACCACACAAGAATTCTTTTTTCTCTTTCTTGGTTCTAATTCTCAGAAAAAGAGAAAAAAGAAAGCTCTTTTTTTTAGAGAGAGAAGAACAAGAAGTAGAGAGAGAAAGAGACAGAAGTTGTATAAGACTTCAAAGGTTTGTGTACTAAAGAAAGAGAGAGAGATCCCAGATAAGAAAATCTTGACACAAACAAACAGAAGCTGCTTTGCTTTGCTTCTAATAAGAACAGTGACATGAAATTTGTCAACATCCGGTCTCCTTTTTATTCCTCTCTGCTTTTTTTCCTTCACTTATACTACTACTTTTCTCTTTCTATATGATATGAATGATTTCCTTATTTGTTATTTAATTAATAATTTTTTATGTGTTATTAAGGAAATGAAAAAGAAATGGGGGCATTTTCTAGATTCTCTCCACCTTCCTTGTTTTTGGTACAGATATTAATGAATTAAATTTAATACCCCTCTCTTGTCGCCTTATTTTAAATTTTATGCTCCCTCCCTCTCATATTAAAAAATCGTGATTGCTAAAAATAGTTATTTCAAATTATTCGTCATTTTAAAAATTCGAGATAAAATTAATTATTTTTTTTCCTTTGGACCCTTAGTAATAATTATTCTGGAAGATGGAGATAACACATAAATGAAATAATATTCAATGAAGAGAGATTCTACCTTATGACATAAATAAGGGTAGAATAGTTCAATCCCTTTCCTAATTAATATTTCTTAAGGGTCGTGTAAAAGAGAAATACGACACATAATATGAGACGGAGGGAGTAAATATAAATTATATACTTGTCTTGTGCGGAGATTGCGAATTAAGGTAGAAGGTTAATAGGTAGTCAACGTCTTTTTTACACACCTATTGTATTTATATTATTCGTGCATTTCTTTCTTAGATTTTTGTTACTATCAGTTATTTCTTGTGTTTCGTTTATGTTATTATCTTGTTATTGTTCCTGTTTCTTTTCATAGCTTCTCCAATACTGCAATTTTTTCAATTATTGTTGTAATTATACTTGTCTTGAGTCGGTGGTCTATCTGAAATAGTCTTTCTATTTTTATTAAGTAAGAATAAAATATACGTAAAGACTATCATCCTCAGCTTCCACTTACCGGATTACATCGAGTTTGTTGTTGTTGTACTTTTATTGTGTGCAGAGGCAGAGCTAGCCTATAAAGTGCGGGTTAGGCCGACCTCAGTCACTTTTGCATAAATATTGTATTTGTACTAGGAATTCTTTAAATATATATAAATATTTAATTGTGAACTCATTAACTAAGACAAGTTATGAGTTCCATGGCAAATTTAGAACCCATAAACTTCAAATCTTGGTTCTGCCTATGATGTGTGCTTATTCTTGTGATATATTCGATGATTTTATTTGAATAGAGTTTGATTAATCCTTTCGCTTATTAAATGTGACGGTTTGTGACTTTTAATTTCGTAATTAACGGACAAAATGAGATAATTATTATTTAATGGTAAAAAAGGCCGAGTGCTCCACCGAAACAATGAATATATAACATGTTTCTTTACACATATTGCTAGCACTAAATCCTAATAAATGAAAACAGAATTTTACCTTAATTTATCACTTGGCTATACTTTCTCAGTCCATTTTAATTAATTTTTTTACCTTTTTCTTGTGATCTATAATATTTGTTTTTTAGATATTTTTAATGAATAAATTAAGATTAATATAATTTTTTTTATTGTTAATTAATATTAAAAATGAATTCCTTAATATGTATGAAAATAATCAAAAAATAATTAAAGTGGAGTGGAAGGACAAGTAAATTAATATGTTCTGTGTAAATATGAGTTGTAGTAAATTTTACACTTTAACTCATCGTTGACATACTTTTCGGAAGGATAAAAATAAAGCTCAGTTATTTGGGTCTTTGAAGAAAAAGTTACTAATAGTAACTAAAAATATTAAAAGAGTTTAATTTACATATACTGACTGTGTAAAAATTTATCGATAATCTTTGTAAAATGTAGAATTTGTAATAGTTAAAATAAAATAAATTATCTATTACAACAAGTAAAGATAGTATTAAAAAAATGTATACAATGATTGTATATAAGTTAAACGCATATTAAAATTAAACTCATGTCTTTTCGGTTTAATTTTCGTTTGAATTTTCAATACCTTATAATTAATTCCTCCAATATCGATATTTCAAATAGAATATTTCCTTCTAGATTTTTGTTTTTAGTTCCAACCGTTAAATCTTACATGTACTAATCGATTGGTGAAGATTCCTTTGTCATCTTTGGGTCTTTCTCCTATGTTTCATTCCTTAGCTCGCGTTTGGACATGAATTTTTTCTTTTACTTTTAAAAAAATTTAAATATTTTCTGTTCAAGGAATTTAATCAGTTTCTATAAAAAATTGAAGAAAAAATTTTAAGTTCCAAAAATTTGTTTTTGAGTGAAAATCTTTTCTTCCACGCATAATATTTCAACTTTTTTCAAGTAAAATGTATGTTCAAATACAACTTCAATTTTCAAAAATTATTTTTCAACACAACTTCAAAAATACTTTATTTCAAGTTTCAGCCGAATACATGTCCAAACGCTAGCTTAGTCTATTCATTTAAATTAGTTCATCAATAAATGTTTTGAGAATACAAATAAACAATGATAAATGCCAAAATATTTTTGTTCAAATGCTAAAATGTTTTATAAGGAATGGAGCATGATTTGAGAAAAGGTGAAGTAGGTACTCTTTTGCAACTTCAAAAAATTAAAGGGGTTAATTAGAGTTATTACTCTCTTAATTAACATTATGAAAGTTATAGGATACTTTGCATTTTAATATTTTTTACGTTACATCTCCAAATTATTGATGTACGCGGGTTAGTCTTTCTAATTATGCATCTAAGTTGTATGTGCAAGTGCTCTCTTTTAATAGTAAGAACAAATTTAATGATACAAATTATGATTTATGTTACAAAACTGAGGCTTACTCAAATGTCTTATCAAAAAACCATGAATTTTATTATGTAAAAGTAGTTAACTTTCAATACTTTTTTTTTGGTAATAAACTGTGAATATTACCATAACCATGAATTTTATTATGTAAAAGTAGTTAACTTCCAATACCTTTTTTAATATATAATAAATTGTGAATATTATCATAACAACCAAAAAGCTTTACAAACAAAGAGCATCTAGTTTCCAAACGCATCTTCTAGGAAGGGTACTCAGAATACTAAGACCTCAGAAAGACACATCCCCATCTATGTAATCTAATTACAGAGCCTATTAATCAAAACTTGATAGTTCCTACCTCTCCTAGAGCCTGTACAATTGCTAATTCTCTCCCTAAGTTCTTTTTGAATCTGTAAAACTATAAACTCACTATTCACAGTTAATTTCCGGAATATCTTCCAATTCCTAGCTTGCCATGTATAGTAAATCATGGCTCTGTAAACAACAGCACCAACTTCTTTTCTGAATTGCCTCCATTATCTATTTCTGATCCATTGCAGAGTACTTCTAGCAAGCTTCTGTGGGAGAGAGATACCAGTCCATATAGCCAGTTTTTCCTTTACTTTGGTGGCCCATTCACATCCAGCAAAAAGATGCAGCTGGCTTTCTGGAACTCCAATGTCACGACCTAAAAATTACAAGTCGTGATGGCACCTAACTCGACCCGCTAGATAATCCAACTAACAAACAATACAAGCCAAATGAAATCATAGGAAAATAGTGAAGGATTATTTGAACTTTTACAAATTAACTCAAGAACTGGTAGTACGAATCATGAGCTTCTAAGACTTAGAATTTACAAAGCTGATACAAATAATTACACGATCTATTTGAAAGCTACATAAATAGATTAACAAAATCTAAAGCTACCAAGGACAAGTGGCAGCTATATCCGGAGTGCACGAACATCTTCAGGGTCAGCTCCCGACATCACTAGTAGCTCGCTCCAAAAGTCTGCATACAAAGTGCAGAAGTGTAGTATGAGTACAACCGACCTCATGTATGCAGTAAATATTTTTTCCAACCTCGTTGAAGTAGTGACGAGGCTTTTTAGTTAAAAGATGCTCACTGATAAAATCTGTAATGTAAACTAACAATAGAACTATACTAAGATATAACAGAATAAAGCATGCGAAACGAATGTACGAAGCAATAACAGAGTACTAGAAGTGATCACAATTCAACAGTTTTCAATATCTCGGCCAATCTTTTACTTAGAGCGAAACTCAATGAACCACAATAATCACCTCAAAACTTTCATAGTGTGAGAAATATACTGAAGACATCAAATTCAACGGCACGACAATACCCTTCGTGCATTTATCTCATCCTCACCAAATATACGTAAAACAGTACTAACCGAATGGCAGAAATACTGATAATAGAAATGACAAAGTAGGAAATACGCAAGTAGCAATAATGAACGTGAATGTACATAAGGATATCAGTAACATACTAAGAGGAAAGCACAGAGGTAATGACAACAATTAGGAAAATGAATGTAACTTCTGTCACACCTCCTTTTTCACTCGCGCCGCCGTAAAGAGCGCAGAGAGAGTTTTTCCAATTAAAGGACAATCGAAACGAGATTTTATTTAAAGATTCAGAGTCGCCACTTCGGAGATTTATGGTATCCCAAGTCACCGGTTGAATCCCGAATCGAGGAAAAGATTGACTCTGTATTACAGTCCGCAAACCAGAAATCCGAGTAAGGAATTCTGTTAACCCGGGAGAAGGTGTTAGGCATTCTCGAGTTCTGTGGTTCTAGCACGGTCGTTCAACTGTCATATTCAGCTTGTTTATCTAATTTTAATACATGTTGAACCTATGTGCAATTTTTTTACTGTTTACCACTTTTATTATTGTTATTTTTAACGAGAATTGCAACGTCGTGAAAATACATCTCGAACCACGTCACATCAATGCACCGTGGTTATCGACACATTTCAACTCTGTTGAGATTTGGATTTGGGTCACATAAATGTGCACCCGAGTTTTAGAAAGTAAATTATTAAAGGTGCGCCTAAAGCGACTAGCGTATCATTATTTTAGGTAAAGCCGTGAAACTTTGCTAAACGGCCCATCCCGAAGTTTAAGTAATTTTACCAACACGTATAGAGGGCCCCGCAGCTCGTGTATTTCGTTTGTCGAGGCTTGTCTCATTCATTATTTTTTAAAAGGAATTTGCAACGTTGTGGAAATGCATCTCGAACTACGTCACAATCAATGTACCCGTGATTAGCGACACATTTCGACTTCGTTGAGATTTGAATTTG